GGTTCCCAGAGCGACAATGCGTGGCGGCGGGAGGTTGTGACCTGAGCTTGGGGGCCGGGCCGGGGCTGCTGAATGGCGGCTCATTGAGGCGGCGGCTCTGGCTGCTCGGGACGTGCCGCGGCGGCGGCCGGGGTGATGCTGCTCAAGCTCTTACAGAGGCAGACGTATACCTGCCTGTCCCACAGGTATGGGCTCTACGTCTGTTTCGTGGGCGTCGTGGTCACCATCGTGTCCGCCTTCCAGTTCGGAGAGGTGAGTATGCGCGGAGCCCCGGCCCGGCCGCTGGAACCCGCACGGCCCCGCGGCGCCCCTGCCGCCGTCTTACGAGCTCAGGCGCGCCGCATCCTCCCTGCAGCTCGGGGCAGGTCCCAGCGTCTGCCTTTCCCCCGGAGCTGCGAGAACTCAGCCCCGGGCTGCGTTTCAGTATCTGTCGAGATCCCATCCTCCCGGTGGTCTGGGGAGAGGCGCTCGCTCTCCCGATTGCCTTTCCCTCTGGGTGCTTTCTTGGGGCCCCCAAGTTTGACTTTCTCCTTAAGGCCTTGTCCCTCTCCACGAAGACCCTTCCTGGGACCCAGCGTTGATGTCTTTTCGCATTCCCAAATTCTTCTCAATTCGCACTCCCTGCCCTTCCTACAGCGTTTCTCCTCCAGGTCACCCTTCTAATCTTTCCACCGTTGACAAAGGCATGTTATCGTCTTAATCCCGTTTCTTCCGGATCACAAAACTGTCCAAGAGGCGTCTTTCTTTGCACGTGAAGTTGCAGTGGGAAGGGTGTACTGTCCCCAAGTTTAAAGGACTTGCGTGTGAAGGGTGATTTTTGCTCTTTGCTCTTATTTGAGACAACTGTTCATCATGAGCCCGAAGAGGATCTGCTGGTAGATGTGCACACACCGGTGTTGGGAGGGTTCTTCGCAACTCCACACGCTTTTCTTTGTCCCGAAGTCAGCTGAGGCTAGGACCCCCTTCGCATGACCAGGACACCTGACTGACCTGGATTCCAGCACCTGACCTTTTGGGATCCAGCACAAGCCCTTGGGTTATGGGATCTATTAGTAATTTTGACTCTAGATCACAAACCAGGCCTTTCTCGATCTGTTTATAGTTAATGTGCAATAAAGTAGTTCAGTTAGATTGTAAACTCTTTAGGAAGTCCAAGCAACAGGTTTGGGAGGTGGAAACACCCAGGTTTAATAGATTTTGTGCCCCTCTGGATATATAGTTTCAACATTTTCTTGAATGAAACAACCTCTTGGTTTAGGTGGGGTAGTTATGTCATTATTGACAGTCTAATGCAGTATTCTTTATCATAAACAACTGTGGAGACACTGCGTAGGTCAGAACCGAAGAGTACACCTATGTGATTTTAGAGAACACAACTTTAAAAAGTTAAGTGTCTGTAGCAACTGGGAGAAAAGTTCTATTTTCACATTGTTAGAAATTCTGTCTTAAATTTTCTTTCCTTTTTTTTTTTTTGGTAAGAGGCTGCAGAAGGTTTTGTAATTAACAGTGGTTTCTAGAAATGCTACAGTATACATTTGCTTCAAGTTTGTACCCTCTTGTGGATTGTAAACTCCACAAGAGAGAGTGCTAACTACTGAAACTCTGCCCCAACCCCGGTACCAGGTACTGCCATAGTATGCAGTCTAAATATTTGTTTAATGAATGAATGAATTATATGGCATGATTTCCAATTGTACACTTTTAGTAGTTCCTGTTCTAGGGGCTAATGAAACAAATTTTAATGAAGGGTGAGAAAGTGCCCAGAATTTTAAGTGTGGAATATGTGCCTAATATTATACCACCTGCTATTCTGTCTTTGTTTCATGTGTTGCAACTTAATATAGTGAATGTATCTATGTGTAGTTAAATGTCTTATTACTGATAGAAGATTGTTTTTGGCCCTGAGTAGTTTTAGGTTAGCTGTTTATTAATGCCCCTGCAGTGTGAAGGTGACTGAAAGGCATCAGTTAGAATTTTTCATTTTGTATATTCCATAACTAATCCCAAAAGAAAGACATTTGTCAGCCTTGAAATGGCCACAGATCTTAAACTTTGGAACAGATAAAAGAAATAAGAGGCAAAGAATGTCAGCAGGTGCCACGGGAGGTGGAGACAGCTGGTTTAATACTATTAATATATTTCCTGTAGTTAATTTCTACAGCTCAGTGGAAAAGAAGCTGTAGGATTAGGATAGACTTGGGTCTGAATAATGGGGGTGCCAGTATTAACGATCATGATTATAGCTAATACATAGTGCTTACTGGATGCCACTCTCTTAACTGCTTTTACATATATTAACTCATTTAATCTTCACAACATCCTCCCTGTGAGATGGGTACTATTATTATACCCATTTTATGGGTGATGAAACGGAGGCATTTGCACAAGGGAATTCAGTTAATTCATGCAGAGCCTGGGCATCAAACCAAGGCAGTATGTGGCTCCAGAGCTGTCTTTATGGTCTCTCAGACAGCGCAGGCTATTCCTTGTATGATCTTGGAAAGGATACTTAATTTCTCTGAACCTCAGCTTCCTTATTTTTAAAATAGAGCCAAGAATACCTTGTAGGGTTGATGGTAAGGATGAAAAAGATCTGTATGTAAAGCACCCTTCACAATTCCTGGTACATAACAGAATCTTACTAACTGGTAGTAACTACAGCTGCTAATATTCATCATCAACTGTTTTATGCCCTTAGTCCTTATTTTGAAATAAACCCTTGAAATAGAATACTCTCATCATACAGTTAATGTTACAGACTTGTTAATTTCACTAACTGTAGTGGATTAAAGGACCAAGAAGACCATTGTTAAATGTGAATTCATTATCTTTTCTCCCCTTCTGAGTGGCATTGGCCGCTACATTTTGATAAGCCGTTTGTACAGCTTGTCCACCTTTAGAGAAAGAAACATGTAATTGAGGAAGGAATTAAGATATTTTTTCATTTTCACCTTCAGTTGAGCCAGGTACTTCCTGGAGAACCCTTGGGAACTCTGATCAAACAAAAAGGAGGGCCTCAGGATGGCGACTAGTGGCCCCTGAAGTATATGCTGTGGGGTGACTGGCAGCAAGGAGCAGCTTGTCTGTTGTAAACTCGTTGGCTTGGGCAAGTCATGTGGCCTCAGGGAGCCTCAGTTTCCTCATCTACAAAGGAAGGCACTATATTACTGTGCTCCTAGAATACTTTTTAGCTCAGAAGCTTCGAAATTTAAATATTTGGCCTCTGTTAGTTGACATTGTATAGACTTTAAAACATGCTTTTGAAGTAAAAATTTATTATTTCAGTGCCATCATTACTTAGTAGAATCGTTTATATGCAAATCTACACTCTCTTATCTGAAATTTCAGCTGAACTATCTTATAAACGTCAGTATCTTTTACAGTGAAACATCTGACTGTTCATACTCGGTGAGGAAAATAGACTATAAATAACTTCAAGTCATTTTAGGTCAGGTTTTGCCACCAAGGCAATTCTCCTCTGGTCAAGTTTTGCTGCCAAATGAGGTACAAAGAGATAGATACTCAGTGTTGAGAGCTCTTTGGCCTTCAGGATTGTGAATTTCTGCTAGATGTGTATGTGTGTATTTGTGTGTGTGTGTGTGGCTTTTGTGCGTTTAAAATATGACTTCCTCACATGCACTAAGTATGAAACAAATATCCAAAAATCAGCTTCCACAAGGAAGCCATATAGGTTCAGACAGAATCTGCTGACACTGTGTAGTCACCTTCCCCTGGCCTTCCTGCTCCCTTTTGCTTGTCTGCCTTCTGCCATTTCGGATTAGTACAGTATTGTTCCGTGAAAGGAAGATCACAAACTAGGTCCAGCTCAAGCTGTGTTCAGCCCTGGTGGTCAGATTCCCATAGTGCCTCATTTCAGGAAAGAAATTAGTTATCTTGTTTGTATTTGATTAGTTCACTCCCTAAACAGATGTATTTTGAGCTTGTTCTCTGCCAAAGGCAACAAATAGGGGAAGTGAAAGGGACCCGTCCTGGGACACAGGAGACAGCCTGGTTTCAGCTCCACCACAAACTGTGAATCTCAGTGGTTCCCCAACTGTGTTATTCCCAGCTGCCTCCTGGTTTGGGGCAGCCATTATTATCTGTTTTGCATACATTTGTTTTGACGGTGGGAAAAGTTTTCATTGTTAAAAATAATGTTTTAAAGTTTCTAGACTAGAATTTTAACACCCGCATTTTAGTTTTAATGTTCTGTGAATATACATTTGTTGGGTACGTCACATAAGAAGTATGAACTAAGGACAGTACAGTGGGGTTTGTGCTACAGAGAAAATGTCAGTGGCTGCAGAGCCTTCTTAAATGGTCTCTTTCTTGTGGGGGGCTTGGGAGAGATACACAGCCCAGCTAACTGTCCAAGCAGGGACCTTGTCTTATTCCCTGATGTATTCCTAGCACCTGGAAAGTGCTTGGTATTCAGTTAGTGCCTAATAAATACGTGATGGAGGGATTGATGGATGAATGAATTGGAGTGTTCTTAACCAATATTTCCTTCAAGCTCATTTCCAAGCTTATTTCTGAAGGAATTAAGTAATTGAGTGTCTGAGTTGGTATATAATAATTGCTTAGAAAAATCAGAGGGAGGGAAGAAAATTAAGTGTGAAGCATCTTAGAGGAAGTTCAGACTTATACAAGGAGGCAGGAGCATTTTTTAAAAAAATTATTAGTGGTTTAAAATTGCCACTGCTGTTAGTCAGCAGCATTTAGTTGTGACAGAATCCCAGCTTAGACCTGGCTTAAGAAAAAAGGTAATTTTTTTACTCGTGTCATTGAAAAGTATAAGGGTGAAACTTCTGGCAGGGTTGGATCAAGGCATTCAGATGATGTCATCAGGAGTCTCCTTTTGTCCCTGTTCTTCAGCTTTGTTGGTTTCCTTCTTAGGCCCGTTCTCCCCATGTGGGAGCAAAGATTGCTGCCAGCAACTCCAGCTTCTCGTTTACCAGTTTAGTAACTCCAGCAACAACAGGACTTCTCTTTAGTGCCAGCTAGACCCAGGGTGACTTGGCTATCCAAGGAATGAGTGCCCTTGCTACGCCCTCATTCACCACCAGGATTATTCCCAGAGCCAGGGCTGTGGGGGGGCTGCCACTCTCATCTCAACCATTTGAAGTGAGAGTTCTCCAGAGGGAAGTCACCAGGTTGTTACCAAAAGAAGGGCCAGAGCAACAGATGTCATAGACACTGACTTGAGTCAAAACCCATTTCCTTTCTTTGGCCTTAATGTTGACATTGTGACT